ACTTTGTAATTAAAATAAAATAAATCTAAAATAAAATAAAATAAACTTTACAGTGAGAATATAGAAGCTGTTATTAACTCCATGATCACTTCAAAGTGTGTTAGACTTGACCATCTCATTAGAAAAAACACAAGTGACATCATTTAATCTTTTTAAAAACACGTACTGCTTTTTATTTATTTTTTTTTGAGAGATTGGATTTGTAATTTACATTACAGCTAAAGGCTTACTGGCTGCACTAGATAAACGGTTCAAAAAATTGTGTCTTTGCTGAACATCCCTCCATGTGGCTTCATACAATCAGGGCACAACTCTCCCCAGATCTTTCCAGCCCTTCTGCTGAAGAATTTGGCCTTCAAGATAACAGGCTGCTTGGGCCCGGCATAATAACGTAGCAGTTAAAAGTCCTCGCCTTGAATGTGCAGGGATCCTATATGGGCTCTGGTTCTAATCCTGGCAGCTCCACTTCCCATCCAGCTCCCTGCTTATGGCCTGGGAAAGCTGTCGAGGATGGCCCAAAGCTTTGTGACCCTGTGCTTGCTTGGGTGACGCAGAAGAAGCTCCTGGCTTCCAATTGGCTCAGCTCCAGCTGTTGAGGCTGCTTGGGGAATGAACCATCTGTTCTCCTCCTCTCTTTGTATCTGCCCTTCCAATAAAAAAAAAAAATAAATAAATCTTAAAACAAACAAACAAACCCCCCTCCCCCCAAAAAAACAGGCTGCTTTAGGAACTTTCCTTTTCTCAGAATTTTGTAGTAGCCCACAGCACAACATCAGGAATGGAAGCAGCTGCAGCCATGCTGTGGACAGTGTTTATCTGTGTCTGCTCACTGACCAAGGCCCACCTTGATGTATCAAGGTTGACAGGAACTGGTTCCTCTATAAGTGATCATGGCTCATACCAACTACTCCAAGGTAATTGGTAGACGTTTATTGCATTTGATTCTGTGGTGATGCATTCCACCAGCCTTCCCCTGGCCTCCCAATGTCTGGTGCTTGTCCTTAAAGCCATGGCCATGGCTCACATGACCCCAAAGTTTCGGGTCCTTATCCATCTGAATGGCACACCAGGGCTAAGAGGAAAGATTGATGTTCCTTGATCTGCTGAAGTAGTTCATGGAATCAAAATAAAACTGGGCAATATACATACAAAAAGGTGTTACATCACTAAACACCCAAGAATTCTCAATTAAAATGAGGTTATTTGGGGGACTATCCATTTGGTAAAACTTAAAAAGATGTTTAATACCTTGATGCTACTGAAGGAAGGGTAAAATTAGCATTCATACATTGTTGACAAGAAAATAAATGGGTATCCTTTAAGAGGCCAGTTTTGAATACAGATAAAGCTTTCTAATAGTTTGACTAATCAATCCCACTTCAACAGTTTCTTAGTGAAATATAATCAAATATATAAAGATGCTTGTATATGGACATTCATTGTGATGTTGCTTATGATGGTGTGAAGTTGGAAACCACCTATATGCTTACTGATAGAGAAACACATAAATTATGATACAGCTAGACAATGCAATTCTATGCAGCTATTAAAACAGGTTAGACAGGGCTTTTTTTTTCCTGACATGGAAAAATGTCCACGTCTCGTTCTAATCAGTGGACTTTTTATTGTTTACTTTTAAAATTAAAAAATGTATTCAAAAGAGGAACAAAAACAGACACAGTGGTTTTCCATCTACTGGTTCACTTCCCACACAGCCACAGTAGCTGAGGCCTGGCACAGCTGAAGCCACGTGTCTGGAACTCAAGCCAGGTCTCCCCTGTGTACACTAGGTACCAAGTACTGGAGCCGAGCTCTGCTGCGTCCCAGGTGTCCATTAGCAGGAAGCTGCACCGTGAAGCACAGCAGCACGAGGGCACGGGAGGTGGACAGCCCAAGTGGTGTTCCAACTACTGTGGCCAGTTCTCATTTTCATTTTGAAAAAATGTGTCTATGCAGAAAAAAGCAAAGCTTTAAAAAAGATGTATTGGGGTAGAATTTACATACCACAAAACTCACTCTTTGCAAGTTACAATACAATGACTTTTAGGGAATTCATGTAGTTGTGCAAACATCACCATGATCTAGTTTCAGAGTTTTTCATTATTCCTCCCCCAAATTTCCCTCATACTCAGATGGTCAGCTATTTGTTGCCTAATTTATTCTTTTATTAAAAGAAGAAGCTTTCATGAGATTTCCTTTTTTTTTTTTTTAAGATTTTTATTGGAAAGGCAGATTTACAGAGAGAAGGAAAGGGAGAAAGTCCTTCTATTCGCTGGTTCACTCCCCTAAATGGCCACAATGGCCAGAGCTGATCTGATCTGGAGCCAGGAGCCAGGAGCCAGGAACCTCTTCCTTGTTTTCACGCAAGTGCAGGGTCACAAGGCTTTGAGCAATTCTCCACTGCCTTTCCAGGCCATTAGCAGGGAGCTGGATGGGAAATGTATTAGCCAGGGCAGGAACTGGTACACACATGCCTTCAGTGCTTACAAGGGAGGATTAGCCAATTCAACCACTGTGCCAGGCCCAAGACTCATTTTTTTTTTTTGCATAAAATATGACCACAGTTACGATTATTTCTGTTTATTATTAGTGTCAACTTTATATCTGATTGCCTTAAAAAACACAAGATTTATTATTACTTTATTTGGAAGGCAGTTTCAGAGAGATCTTCTATTCACTGGTTCACTTGCAACAGCCTCAGTAGTTAGGATCAAGCCAGGCCTAAGTTGGAAGCCTGGACACAGGTATTCCATACTGGTTTTCCAAGTATGCGGCAGGGGCCCAAGTACGTGGGTCATCTGCTGCTGCTTTCCTCCGGGCATATTAGCAGGGAGCCAGATGGGAAGTGGAACAGCTTGGACTCAAACTGGCCTTATAGGGGATGCTGACATGTCAGGCAGTAGCTTAATCAGTGCCCCACAATGCTGGTCAGTCCTAGTGACTTTTAAAGATCCCTTTATTTAACCTGTTCATATTTAATACATACAACTTGATGAGTTTGGAGATCGGATCCCCATTTAACATGCCCACTGCACAGATTTTATAGTGGTGTGGTTGGGGGTGACTATCAGTGGGGGCGGGGCAGAGGAGGAAAATTACAGCTTCTGAGTTAATAATTTCTATGTTATTTGAATTGCTAACAGCAAAGATATGCTATCTTTTAACATGAGAACACAATAAAGGTTTTTCTATTTGGAAAAGAACAAAAAAAAAAATTAAACAGATTTATACCCTTTGATCCAAATCTACTTCTGTTGATTAATCTCAAGGAAATAAGAAGTATGTAAAGATTTTGTGTACCAAGATATTTATTAGTATTTTAAGATATAAAAAATTGTAAATAATCAATATCTCATGATGGAAGAGAACAATTACTAATTTTATCGCAATGTGAAAAGGACAGGAGGCAAGCCTTTACATGTAGTATAATCTCATTCATGTGAAAAAAATGCATATCCAACAAAAAACCTGGCTGATATTTCATGAACCCTTGCCATTGGTTGCCTCTGGTGGAATTCTACTAGTTTTGTATCTAATTCTTCTTGCATTTCTCTATTCTCTTCACAAATGGTAATAACTAAAAGATGGGTATTGTTTTCAAATGTATACACAACTGTCAACATAAACGTGCACTTTACAATGCAGACTATCTTAATAAAACTTAAAAATTAGGAAGATTATGAGAAATCAAATCTTGTTAAGCTCTTTCTGGAAGTGAGGTTTTTTTTAAGATTTATTTATTTTTATTGCAAAGTCAGATACACAGAGAGGAGGTGACACAGAGGGGAAGATCTTCTGTCCAATGATTCACTTCCCAAGCAGCCACAACGACTGGAGCTGCACCAATGTGAAGCCAGGAGCCAGGAACTTCCTCCAGGTCTCCCACGTGGGTGCAGGGTCCCAAGGCTTTAGGCCAACCTCCACTGCTTTCCTAGGTCAGAAGCAGAGAATTGGATGGGAAGTGGGGCCACCTGGATTAGAACCAGTGCCCATATAGGATCCTGGTGTGTGCAAGGTGAGGACCCTAGCCATTAGGCTACCGTGCTGGGCCCTGGAAGGGAGTTTTGTGCAACACTTTGGGGCTGGCTGGTAAACCTGGTTGGGGTGGGGTGGTGGGTGGGCATCATATAGATAGCGACGATGCCTTACTCAGGAACCTTCTACTCATTCATGCCAGGTACCTGGATACCAGGCAGAACAAGACGCCACTGCCCTCAAAGTGCTCCTGGAGGAGCGGTGGAGCAGATTCTGGTAGATGCCCACCACCCATCGCTGTTTGAGGCTGGACCTGCAGCCTGGCAGGAGGCAGCAAGCTTTAGGCTGTGGAGGTGTCCCTAAGGTGAGGCTCCCCGAGGGGAGCGTCGCGCTCATCACTGGAGGAGTGGGCTTGAACAACAATGATATATATATGAATGTCTTTCTTCCCAGCACACTGCTCACCACTCCTGTCCCACCGAACCCGCGTTACAACCAGGAGGGTCCTCAGGACCTCCACTGCGCAATGAGCAAGCTGAGGCTTGGGGACGTCGCCCTCCTGCTCCGGTTCCCGTGCTCAATTGCACCACCCTCCGTCTACACTCTGAAACCACTGAAGAGCAGTAAAGCCCACGTTCCGGGTTCAAATCCGAAAGCTGATTTTCCATTCTGGACCTTTTTTTCCCCCTAACCAGATCCAAGGCAACATCCGCTAGCACAGTCAAAAGCGTTGGAGCCAATCCGTGCAAAGCCGGGGGCTGGCGAGGATCCGGGCCGGAGGGATTGGGCGGGGGGTCGTATCGTCAAACCGAGGAGCCCGCGTCCGGGACCACAGAACCGCAGGGCCCGGCACTCAGGGCCGCCGAGTCCCTGGACGCCGCCAGCCTGCCCTGCCCAGCGCGCGTGCGCGGGACGAAAGGGGGCCGCCCCTGCGCGAGCGCGCGGCCCGGAGCGCGCGGGCGCGCAGCGGGGTCGGCGTCGGCGTCGGCGCGCGCTCCAGGCCGCGGCTTGTGTGGGCTGGGGAGGGAGCGAGGCGGCGGCGCCCCAGAGCCGAGGGGACGCGCGGGCCTCGCGCCGCAGGAACGGACGGCCGTGGAGGAGACCCGGCGCTCGCTGCCCGCGGCGGGAGAGCTCTGCCCCTTCCAGGGCTCGCTTCGGAAGCTGCCGGCCGCTTCCCTCGCCCCGGAGCGGCCGCCGCCCCTGGAGACTCGCCGTGACACGGGCCTAAAAGCCGCCGCGGCTGCGGGCGAGCGTGCACACCGCCGGGACCCGTCGGGTCGGGCCGGGTCCCGGTGGACCGGCGTCCGGACAGGTGCAGCACCCCCCGCGGGCCGGCCGGGGCCGGGCCCCGAGGCTTCCCTCCCTCCGCGCGGCCGGCCGGCCGGGCTCGGCGTCCCCCTCCTCGCCGTGGGCCGGAGCCCCGGTCGCCGCCCCGCCCTCTCCGGGGACGGCCGGGCCGGAGCCGCGGGAGTCGGAGACCCCGAGCCGCCAGCAGCACCGCCCGTCGGCCGGTGGCGCGCCGAGAGGGTGCTGAAGAAACTTAGCCTTTTATTGTTGTTTCTAGCCCTTTAAGTGCAAGGAACTCTGTGAGGGCAGGAAAAATGTCCTTCTTCAATTTCCGTAAGATCTTCAAGTTGGGGGGCGAGAAAAAGAAGAAGCAGTACGAGCATGTGAAGAGGGACCTGAACCCCGAGGAGTTTTGGGAAATCATCGGAGAACTGGGCGACGGAGCTTTCGGGAAAGTGTACAAGGTAAGACGGAGAAAACGGGAAGTGGCACTTGGGAGATAAAACGGCCGCTGGCCGGGAGGGGCCCGAGGACCTCCCGCTGTCCCGTCCCTTTCCTGCTTTTTTTTTTTTCTTCTTGACTTCACAGCGCGCGCTGGAACTTTGTTCAGCTTGGCATCCAAAGAGTCGCTGAGACTGGAGGGCTTCACGGTTGAACCCCAAGGGGCTTGGGTGCAGTTTTCTCGTGGGCGGCATACCTTCCAGTATGTCACACTCTAAAGACAGTTGCTTTAATTCCTGGCAGGGGTCTGGCCGTGGCTCCCAACAGCCTTAAAGCAGAAATGCTCATTCGTTTGGCCCTGCTTGGCATTTCTTTGCTTAGCGTCTGAGGCATGCAGAGGGCTGTTGTCCTTAGCTAGTACCTAGCAGGTTTTAGCCATCAGAAACTTGCAGTCCATCACTTGGGTTGGTTGTTTCACAGCATCATGTAAAATAGAATGGAATTTCTTAGAAAATTTCCAGGAGAAAACTTGCATCCGGTGCTAGTTTCTAAATGGCATTGTAGTAAGCTGTGGCTCCTACCAGTGCCTGGGCATGAAAGCATTACACACACACACACACACACACACACACACACACACACGCACACTTTTTTTCCTGTAAGGAGATCTGATATTTTAACCTGAAGTCCTTCAAGTTACCTACTTAATTTCTGCTAAGGAGCATTTGAGTGATGTCATCGGAATATTTTCATCCTGAAGGGTGAGGTTTTTTTTTTTGTTTTTTTTTTTTTTGTTTTTTTTTATATGAGACTGCCGTTGAGGGGAAGGACCAACCGGGTTGCCTAGAAGTGAAAAAATAAATAACTGGGGTATTTATAGAAACTTTGCAGTTTTAAGTCATTTCATGTAATTTGGCCTTCACAAAAATTCTGCAAGGTAGGCAGCTCCATAGTGTGGCCACAGTTCACAGGTGAGGACACTTAAAAATTTTTCTTAATTGTTTTATGATACAGTTCAATAGGATCTGGGATTTCCCCTCCACATCCCTAAGTGCCCTCCACCCCTTACTGATTTCCCGTCTGGTGTTACAGTGGGTGGTCCTTCATGAACAGTCATAAGTCCATCATTCTGCTATCGAAGTGTTTCCTGACATTGTAGGCATGGACAGTGTCGGCAGGTCCAGCATCCTACTGTCAGGAGATTTTCGACTGTTTCACTGGGAGTTCATGTTTGGTCTGAGAGATACGTTGCCCTGTCTCCACATCTGGACATGTCAGTCCCTGCTACATTTCTACTATGCATCCCCTTAAATTCAGAGCCAGAAAACACAGTCCACACAGGGAGAAAAACAGAAAATTTTCATCAACATGAAGTTAAACAACATGCTACAGGATGACCAATGCGAGGACACTGTTATTAGGAAGGTGTTCATACGAGGCACAGCTCCACCTGAGCTCAGGCCTTCTGACTTCCGTGTGGACCCAGCAGCATTTTACCTACTTCATAAGCAGCATTCCTGTGGGTCTGTTCCCTGCCACAGGTGCAGCTTGTCGAAAATCATAGTCCTCATTCTTCGTGCAGTCTCCTCTGTTTTCAAAAATCATTGTTCATAATTGTCCCATATTACAGTTCATGGGTTTATACCTCATTAATACTGTTCTGGGGCCAAGATTGTATTGTACATTTGGGTTTACCCCTTTGCCTTGGCACTTAGCACTTCGTGAAAGTGCAGGAACGTGCTCACAGAGAGCTTACCGACACTCCTGTTGCCAATGAAAACTGGTGAAGTGAGTTTCAGCATTCGGGTGGAAGGTTGGGTAGGTGTGGAAGGAAGGGCGTTAGTGCCCTGGGAAGATTTCTTCTGGGAATGGTGTGTCAGTGTTGGCTTTCACTTCTCTGCCAGTTTGTTTCCTTTGCTGTGAAGTCGCAAGTTTTCTTAAATGTTTAGTTCCCTTACCCTGTTCATGTTCTGTGAATATGTGATTAGCTGAGGAAAGTAGAACCAATCCTCAAGGCACCTGGCATCTTATGGTGTGATGGTAGTATGGTGCAATTAGGTTGTTTTATCAAACACAAACAGCAGTGGCTTTTGAGTCATTGTATCCCAGCACCCTCACTCAGTAGCATTGTGTAACCTTGGGCAAGTTCCTGGTTCCTTCTTTGCTTGTCCTCATCAGTAAGCCCTGGCTTCTCTGAGAATTAAAGGAGGTAGTAACTATAAGACACATGGAGTTCCATAAATGGTGGAAATTACTACTAATAGCTAGGGTCATAGAAGCAAGGTATAGGACGGGGCAGGAAAAGGGACAGAATGGGAAACCGTGGCCTTTGTTCCCGTGACAGAGGTTGGTGGCGTGAACGTAGTGACTATTTCACACAGTGTACTAGTGCAAATTGAAAATGTTCTCAAAAATTAGCAGTGTTATAAGATTGAACACTGAAATTGTGTTGAGGATAATTTCTGTGGGCTTAAAGACTGTTTTAGGATGATACTTGAAGAATATGAGTTGTTAACATCTTTTTCGTTTTACTGCTCTAGGTTTCTAAGAAATAGAGTATGAAATTTTTGTTTTTTGTTTTTAAGAAAGAACTTACAATTTGAACTTATCTGACCTATTTTGGCCTCTTTTTCCTAAAAGCTTCTGCTTTTCAAAATTTCCTAGAAATTATAAATTTATAAACTACTTCCTATATACTGAAAAAGGCATCATTCTTTAACATTGTATGAAGTAGTATGCAGTTAGAAAACTATTTCAAAACTTTTATCATTTGCTTATGGAAATTAGTAACTGTTGTGAAGATTATATTGTAAACAGGCAATCATGTTGTATATTTATTGGAGTAATTTTTCAAATGCAGTTGTATTGCTTCCTTCTAGTCCAACATTAAAATACAAGTAACATAATTACTTCCTTGTCTGAAAACTTCATTATTTTAATTTATTTATTATACTATATGTTTTAAAACAAGTAAGTGAGCTGTGTAATATCCTTCACAATTTTCTGTTTTAGATTTCTTTCTTTCTTTTTTTAATTGAAAGGATTTACAGAGAAGGAGAGAGAGAAAGATCTCCCTCCACTAGTTCATTCTTCAAATGGCCACAGCAACCAGAGCCTAGGTGATATGACACCAAGAGCGTCTTCCAGGTCTCCCACACGGGTGCAGGGTCCCGAGGCTTTGGATCATCCTCTGCTGCTTTCCCAGGCCGCAAGCAGGGAGCTGGATGGGAAGTAGAGCAGCCAGGACATGAATTTGAGCCCATGTGGGATGCTGTTGCTTGCATATTAAGGATTAGCTAATTGAGCCGTGGTGCAGGCCCTGGATATCTGTTTTTAGCAGGAAAAAAATGGCATAAAATTATCCACTGAATTGCGTATATGGGAAGGTAGTTTATCACTTAAATCAGCTGAAGCTGAGCTACTGGTTGTTCGTTGAATTGGGGTGATTCTGTGACAATCGATTGTGTGCCTTTTAAGAAATGGTTCAGAGGCTCTTACAGTGACGAACCATGCTGATCCTCTGTGGCACCAGCATCCCACATAGGTGCAGTTTTGTGTCCTGCTCTACTTCCCCCTCCCTTTTTTTTTCTTTTTAAGATTTATTTATTTATTTTTACTGGAAAGTCTGATATATAGAGAGAAGTAGATATAGACCAAGATCTCTGTCCACTCATTCACTCCCCAAATGGCCACAACAGCCGGCGCTGAGCTGATCCATAGCCAGGAGCCAGGGATCTTTGACATGGGTGCAGGGTCCCAAGGCTTTGGGCCATCCTCCATTGCTTTCACAGGTCACAAGCAGTAAGCTGGATGGGAAGTGGGGCCGCAGGGATTAGAATCGTGGCTGGTATGGGATCCCAGCATGTGCAAGGCAAGGACTTTAGCCAATAGGCTAGCGTTTGGATTCTGCTTCAATTCTGATTTTTTTTTCTTAAACACTCCTATATCTGGCTTGAGAAAATAGCAGTGTGTGTCCCAAGTCTTGAGCCCCTGCATTCACATGGGAGATGGAGAAGTTGTTCCTGGCTCACAGCTTTGGATTGGCTCAGGTCTGGCTGCTGTGGCTATTTGGGAAGTGAACCAGCAGATGAAAGATCTTTCCTTCCTATGTCTCTGATCTCTGTAAAATCTGCCTTCCCAATAAAAATAAAATAGATTTTTAAAAATATAAAAAAGGTTGGTCTTAAAAAAAATTTGCTAAATATACCTGTGTGCTCCTGATTATAGATGACACTGCTTCTTTTTTTCTTTTTTAAAGATTTATTTATTTTTATTTGAAAGGTAAATTTTTATAGAGGAGAGGGAGAGGTCTTCCATTGTCTGGTTCATTTCCTAATGGCTGCAGCAGCCAGAACTGAACTGATCTGAAGCCTGCAGCTTCTTTCAGTCTTCCACATGGGTGCTGGGGCCCAAAGGTTTGAGTCATCCTCCTCTGCTTATGCAGCCCATAAGCAGGGAGTTGGGTCAGAAGTGGAGTCATGAACTTCTGGGTGTTTCACATGGATGCAGGGGCTCAAGGACATGAGCTGTCCTCTGCTGCTTTCCCAGGCCAAAAATAAGGAGCTGGATTCTCAGAGGAACAGCGAGAACTAGAACCAGCACCCATATGGGATGCTGGAACGAAAGGCAAAGGGTTAACATACTAAGGCATTGTGCTGGGCCCAAATGAAGTTTATGTGATCAGTCACCAAGGTTGAAAGATCAGGCCAGCATCGCAGAAATCTCCTGCCTGCTTTCTGAATTTTTACTCTCTATATGGAAACCTCTTACCTATCCTGAAACTATTCATTTATACAAATTTCTGTTTAGTTTATCATCTGGAATTTAACCTGAAATAAAATAAACTTTTGTGAGTACTGGAACTTTTCAATGAGTGAACTGATACAAATGTGTTCTTCTGTGTCTTTCCTCCTTCAAAACTAACATTAATTAATTAATTGGATTTATGAATCACCTTTGCATATATTTGAAAATCTAAGTTAAAAATTAAATTAGCATGCTGAGAATATTGTCTTGCAATGTT